AAAGGGGACAGCCATGGTGGAAGAGAAAAGGGCCTTCACCAAACTGGTCACACCATGTCTTTATGGAGCTGGCTTTATATAAAGGGGACAGCCATGGTGGAACAGAAAAGGGCCTTCACCCAACTGGTCACACCATGTCTTTATGGAGCTGGCTTTCTACACAGGGGACAGTCATGGAACAGAAAAGGGTCTTCACCAAACTGTTACCACAGAGCTGGACAATTGTCTAGAAAAGGGCCTTCACCCAACTGGTCACACCATGTCTCTATGGAGCTAGCTTTGTATAAAGGGGACAGCCATGGTGGAACAGAAAAGGGCCTTCACCAAACTGGTCACACCATGTCTTTATGGAGCTGGCTTTATATAAAGGGGACAGCCATGGTGGAACAGAAAAGGGCCTTCACCCAACTGGTCACACCATGTCTTTATGGAGCTGGCTTTGTACACAGGGGACAGTCATGGAACAGAAAAGGGTCTTCACCAAACTGTTACCACAGAGCTGGACAATTGTCTAGAAAAGGGCCTTCACCAAACTAGTCACACCATGTCTTTTATGGAGCTGGCTTTGTATAAAGGGGACAGCCATGGTGGAAGAGAAAAGGGCCTTCACCCAACTGGTCACACCATGTCTTTATGGATGTGGCTTTGTACACAGGGGACAGTTATGGTGAAACAGAAAAGGGTCTTCACTAAACTGGTCAAACCATATCTTCATGGAGCTGGCTTTGTGCACCTGAACTCAATAATTAGGATAACTTGAATGCTAATTCTATACCAATAAACAATTCTTTTGACCAGAAGAATGTCTTTGTCTTCAGGAACTGGATTACGGTGCCCTCTATGAAGTTCGGACTCCGCACCTGTACGTGGAAGCCAACAAAATGCCGACATCTCGGGTAAGATGGAAGATCAAGACAGTCTGAGCTATAATTGTTCCGCGTTACAAGTATTGGATGGGGGGGTTGTCTAGAGTTGAATGGTCACTGGAGTGTTTGCATGGAAGCCATTCATACCTCTATGTTCCTGTGCCCTAAGAACTATGGACCGGGGGCATTCAGGGTGCAACACAATACTTATTATATAAAGGCAGGTACAATCAGTTTTTCATGGGATCTAGTAAATTTACGAGGCCACTCCGTATGGTCACTGGTGGGTTAATTCACTTGCCTGCTCCTATGATGGAAACTAATTCACAACCTCCCAGCAGTATCTGTGTCGCCTTCCTTTTACTTCTGTAATGTAGTAGCCGACCTCAGTGACCAATAGGAATGGCGGGCCAAGCATGACTTTTACAGGGAATGTCAAGATCTTCACATATATAGATCAGTAATACAACTGATCTATATACAACATAATAAGATCAGTTGGCTGAAGTTCCTCCAAGATCAGGCTGGCAGCCGGCTGGTCCAAGTACTGTTTGTTTTTTATGCCATGATTGTTACACCGGATGAGCCTGCTTTGGTTGGATCTTCTGACTGCTGTGTCATGTCTATGGCTGGCATATCGTGGCGTGCCGGGGCAGTAGTAGTGAAGGCACATGGCCCCTCACATGGTCCCTTACAGCCCCACATTCCATGCTCTGTCCTTTGCATGTCTCATGGTCATGCTTTGCACTTTTTTAAGTTTCTCAAAGACTGGATGGGTGGGGAGAAGTGGGTGGGCATGTGTTCTGATCTGAAGGTGTCCGTAGTCACATGATTGTCACATGATCCCTCTGTGACTGGCCAGAAGCCATGATCTAATGTCTATGAGGAACTTTATGGATAGTGTTGGTGGAGCACTGGACCCTAAGATGAAGACATTTATTTTAGTTCTGAGACAAAAAAGAGCTCCCTAGATGACACTGGGTCCGGATAGGTCAACGGATAGGTCATAGTACAGCAGAAGGATGAGCGCGCCACAGGGTCGGTGTAAGTCCAGTATATCTTTATTGGTCACAGCAGCAAAAATGATGTAGATTGCCAACACGTTTCAGAGCTCATGAATCCTCCTTCATCAAGGCTAAGAAATACATTACATACACTATATCAAAATATAATGTCAAGAAATGTCAAGAAGATGATGCCATTGAGAGAAGGGCCATTCAGATGATGCAGGAGCTTATTGGAGGTTGCGAGGAGGCACAGAGAGCATGGAGTCACACAGAGGCACACAGAGCATGGAGTCACACAGAGGCACACAGAGCATAGAGGCACACAGAGCATGGAGTCACACAGAGGCACACAGAGCATAGAGGCACACAGAGCATGGAGTCACATAGAGGCACACAGAGCATGGAGTCACATAGAGGCCCACAGAGCATGGAGTCACACAGAGGCACACTAGAGACACTAGATAACACATTGGCTGGGAGTGCATTTGGAATCACTGGGCACACTGGATTCACTTGATGACACAATGACACATCTACTGGAAGCAGGCATTAGGAACACAGGAGTCACCGGGATAATAGTAAGCATGGGGTGGGGGGGGAGGGGGTGCTCAGCAGAAGCCCCATCTTCATGTTCTGATCGCTTCCCATCCGAGTTATTGTCACTTTGCTCTCTCTGTCCTGTATCTCCGCAGAGTATGGTGAAGGCTCTCTATGACTACAAGGCCCAGCGGGAGGACGAGCTCTCCTTCTGTAAGCAGGCCATCGTTCACAATGTAGACAAGCAAGATGGAGGCTGGTGAGTTTACATCCGGCAATGATTTCTGTCTGTTCATTTCTTAAAGCCCAGTTCCACTCAAAACCAGTAACTACCCCTTCTTCTTTTCCTACATACAACGTAAGAACAAACATTATGGTATTAGTAATGTCTTCCTTGTCCTCGCTCTGCAGGTGGCGCGGGGATTATGGCGGGAAGAAGCAGCTTTGGTTCCCGGCGAACTACGTGGAGGAAATGAGCAACGCGTTGACCACAGAGCGGGATGACTCGGTATGGAGCACGGCACCCCTCTGTCGGGGGCAAAGCAGATTATGTGATGGGACGGCTGGAACTGAATACTCTCCTGTATATGTTAGCAGCACACATGGACTGTGAGAACATCTCGCACCCATGCCAATGTGTTTAAAAAAATCAATGAAATAATACAACTTAATGTGGATCCTTGTATGTAGGAGTGTTAAAGGGTCAGTCCACCCAGAACTGATCTTTTGGTGTTTTACTAGGTTCTGGAGAGTTGAACCCAATTAGTCTCTTCCATTTTTTTTTTGGGGGGGGGGATGTTCCCACCATCCCTGCATTGAGTTCTCGGGTCTTTACACCCGCTGTGCCCATTATGAGGGGCCCCCACCATCCCTGTGCTGAGTTCCCGGGTCTGTACACCCGCTGTGCCCATTATGAGGGGCCCCCACCATCCCTGTGCTCTTTCCTGAAGAAAATACTGCTGCAGGCTCCCTCCAGTGCTGTTGATTCATTGAAGACTTAAGCACTTGTGTTGGGGAGAATTAGCCCATTTGAATTCTTTCCAACTCTACAGTAGAGATCACATGACTGAATACCTAGGCCTACAGATAGTACTGAAGAGAGCTCAGAGCAGTGGTTTCTCCAGGAAAGGTGGGTAGTTCAGCCCTTTCAATGCTATTTATCCAAGACAGAATACTGGCTGTCACGGAAGGAGGACCCCGCCACGCTGGCATACCTTTTATGTCACTGTTGGAGCAGACTTGGCAAATAGACACCGCTGTACATGAGTCTGATGTCTCCACCTCCTTCTGCAATCTCCAAATAACTGATTCTTTCTTTCCTCCTCTTCAGTCGCTGTTCTTCGGTCAGTCTGCGGAGAACAGCCCCCTGGGAAACTTCCTGAAAGGGTTCATAGACGTTCCCACTTGTCATATCGGTGAGTATCGGGGGGGTTCCTGTTTACTGCTGTCTAATGTCTGAAGACCAGTGACACTAGATGAAGACTGATGATGACCAGTAACGCCGGGGGTGTCTTTAATATTGATTGGACCCCGGGCAAACTATTTTTGGGGTTCCCCACTGTCGCACCTTAACCACTCAGTGCCGACCCGCCATGCAATTTCGCTCTCCACCCCAACATCCCAAAAACACAGAATGCCTCAGCAGCCCAGCCCAGCTCACCTGCCTCTGCCCTGGTGGTGCAGCTGTAGCTCAGTCCGGATGTCGCGTCTCACTCTTCTGATTGGTGTGTGTGTGACGTGACATAAGCCGCTTTCGCACTACGTCTTACTCCTGCACAGCAGATAGGAGAAGACGTCAGAGGGACATGTGACCCTGTGTGTGATGTCACACGGTCCAAGGGCAGCTGCTTTGGGCCCCACTCCATTGACTGGGCCCGGGGCAGCTGCCCCTTTTGCCACACGTTAAAGACGGCCCTGAGTAACGCTGACACACACTGAGTATTTGCTGATGTAGCTGTACATCCCATTGCTGAGTCATTGAATCTCCTGCACATCCAAGCCCTGAAGAAGGGAGGGAACCGTTACTCCCAAAATGTGTTTAGGATGTCAAAAGCTATTAAAATATAAGCAGTTGCACCCGGCCGTCCTATTGATTCTTCCTTTGGGCGCTCCTTTATCTTTATGTCATGTGAGCTGTGATGCCACCTGACCTTGCCCAATGGATGCATGACTGCCCTCCTTCCTGCAAGATCAGATAAGACAGGACGAGAGCATACACCTCTGTAGAAGATACCCTCAGGCCTAGGCACACTCCAACAATCCTCTGGGTAGCAAGCCCTTATAGGGCAGTTTCAGGTCACCTGACATAAGGCTAGCATTGTTGGTTAGGTGACTGACCTACAGTGGCTCTGCAATGTGGTCATCAATGTCAGTGAGCCTGCTCTCAGTATGAATGCAGACTTAATGACCACAGAGTGCTGCCACGGGGCCAGGACATGTCACCCAGACCTGGAGCACCGCCAGACCCTCTATTACTTACTGTTTAAACTGCCCCAACCCTACTCTTGGCTGATGAAGAAGACCTTGCTGAAGTGTTTACACCCGCCATAAAGATGGGGTTTGATGTATTATATATATATATTTTACGCTGTTATCTGCTGAGCTTTATTCACCCCCCCTTTTCTCTGTCCGCAGTCTTGTCTAAGGAAGGGAGAGGCCTCAAACCCCACATGTTCACCATCCACTCCCAGCAGATGTCTCACCCCTCTCAAGCGCTGGATGTGGCAGCCGACTCACTGGAAGAGCTTAACGACTGGATAGCGAAGATCCGAGAGGCTACCCAGAATGCAGATGCGAGGGTGAGTCCCCATTTATAAAATGCAATACTCCTGATGAACACCAGAGGGCACACGTGCTGAACAATGCTGCTATCAAGGGGCTATCCCTGTAGGTTATGAGGGCCAATGGGACATGCTTGACACAATGTCAATTCTTTATATATGGACTCCAAGCGTGCAGGTAAATACACAGCTGAAGTATGTTACATAGGTGTGAAGTGTTTTGCCTGCCAAAAGATTTTTAATTTTGTTCAGCCTGTCGTGGACAGGGTGTTCCATATCCAAAAGATAGAGACAGTCCAGGAAATACAGGCGCGTACCTGTGTCTGCATGGAGCCTGATGAAGGGGACCCTGCGAGGCCCCGAAAGCGCTTGCCAATGAGATACAGCTACTGGCAATAAAATATTTTGCTTTTTCAACTCATGGTGTGCTGGTGACATTTTTCTACTGTTCATGTGTGGCGGTGCCATCCGCAGTCATTTCAAGCACCCATCTTCATCAAGTGGGAATCCCGGTAAGGAGTGCGGTATGGTTCCTGTTTCTGTGTCTGCATGGAGACACAAGATGCTCTGGGGTCACTGTGTGAGACAGGAAGCTCTGATGTCACTGGGTGACATAGGATGCTATGGAGTCACAAGAATTTACAGGGTACCGAGAGGTCACTGGAGGATACAGGAAGCTCTGGGGGTCACTGGTTGACATGGGAAGCTCTGGGGTCAGTGGAAATACAGGAGTGCACTGGTCATTGGATACTCAGGAGTGCAGGGGTCATTGGAGATGCTGGAGACACAGGAGTGCATGGGTCTTTGGAGACACAGGAGTGTAGGGGTCATTGCAGACACTGGAGACACAGGAGTGCAGGGGCCATTGTAGACACAGGAGTGCAGGGGCCATTGGAGATGCTAGAGGTGCAGCGGTCATTGGAGACACAGGAGTGCAGGGGCCATTGGAGATGCTAGAGGTGCAGGGGTCATTGTAGACACAGGAGTGCAGGGGCCATTGGAGATGCTAGAGGTGCAGGGGTCATTGTAGACACAGGCGTGCAGGGGCCATTGGAGACACAGGAGTGCAGGGGCCATTGGAGATGCTGGAGACACAGGCGTGCACTGTATGACACTCTGTGGCTCTGTGTGTTTACAGATGCAAGAAGGGAAGATAATGGAGAGGAGAAAGAAGATCGCACTGGAGCTGTCTGAGCTGGTCGTCTATTGCCGCCCTGTGCCTTTCGATGAGGAAAGTAAGACATTCTAACATGTTATCTCTTCGTGTGTGTGTGCAAACATTCAAGTAACACAAAGAAACTGCACTTTTCACTAACAACCATCCGAATATTCTGTACCATATAGAGCCATTTATCCAACTGTCCATCCAGAGCCGCCATTTATAGACCGGATACATCCTAAATATAGAGCCATTTATCCAACTGTCCATCCAGAGCCGCCATTTATAGTGTGTCTGTGTGTGGCTCCCGTTTTTTTTTGCCTTGTTGATGTGCGCATATTGCACGGTTGAGGTTTTGCCTTAAAGGAGAACTATGGGGTCAGTGCTTTTCCCCATAGTTCTCCTAAGGGTCATGGGAGGACATATACTAGCGTCCTCCGATGACCCAAAGCTCAGTATATCACGAGCTACAGCTCGCAGTATTCTGAGACCGCCGCAGCCGGGACGGATCCCGACATTACTGTTGAGATCCACCCAGCTGCGTGATTGACAGCTGGCTCTGCCTATCCAGAGGCAGAGCCAGCTGTACCTGCCCCCTCCCCCGTCCCTTCCGCCAGTCAGCGCTGGAGGATCGGAGAGGTAGAGGGGGGGGGCTCCCTGCAGGGAGCCGTGAGTAACAGTCACGGCTCTCTGCAGGGATAGATCGAAAAGTGAGCGAGCGACTGTATGTGTTCGCTCACTTCCCGATCTACTGAGCCGACCTGTGACAGTCTCATTGTCACACGTCGGCTCGAACTGAAAATCACTCGCCTCATAGTTCTCCTTTTAATAAACGTTTTTTTCTCATGTTTGTGTCGTTATCTCCGCGGACTTCCTGTCCTCACAAATCTCATGAATGTGATGGAATACATTACCTGTCCGGGGGGGGCTGCTGGATGTCTTTACTAGACATGCCACCTGGGGGTCAGACCCGTATACAGAAGGGCCGGCCCCGTACTATATAATGTACATTCCACTCATACATCAGGAACAGTGAGAATAACACACAGCTGTGCATATCGCCCCGGGAGGATACGAAATATGGACACTTCCTGCACTTCCTGCTGTATTATGTATCCACTTTATTCTTCTTCTGGTCTCAGATGTCTCTCACAGATAAACAATACAGCGAGATATAATACACACAACTCCCCTGACTTGGAGACTCTGCTCTGAACTTGCACTATAATAAAATGTAAAACATATACTTGGCATATACAGGATTAAACAAATGCAGCATATTGAACCCCCTCTCCTACTAAAAATGTACCCCCCCCGTTCAGGGCAGCCATCAGGGGGGGTACGGCAGATACTCATGTACAAGTAGCTGGTCTTGCCTAGGGTGCAAAATAGTCTAGCACCGGCCCTGATTACCGCAGTAAGTGCTTATATGCTAGTGTCAGGTTCCTTATATAATAACAGGTTCATATGCTAGAATAACATTGCAGAAAGATGTCATTGAAACAAATTGTTGTTCCCGGAATCCTTGGAATGTCTTATTGTGAATGATAGAGATAGCGGTGTATTTAGAAAGCGTTCGGAGAGCGAGTTTCCTTGCGTTTAACAGTAATCCAGCTTGTGATACCAGTCGTTTTGTGCGCCAATTGTTTCTGTGAGAACCCCGAGTTTTAGATGCGCAGCTCATTACAGCCACTAGATGGCGGCGAGGAGGAGCACCGGAAATTCCTATGTTCCCTTTAGTGGCCGTAATGTGCTGCAAATGTAAAACTCAGATAGTCACAGAGCTCGGCGGCCATTTTATAATCGCACCCCTCAGTCCCCCTTTTCTACAATGAGGTCTCGTCAATAAAAGACAATATTAGGTGCTCATATGTTATGTTAGGTTCTCTTGGTGAAATGAGTTTAAAGTAAAATGTTGCAACCTTGTTACCCTCTGTAGTCTTGGAATGTCTTGTTGCAGAACATGGAGACAGTTATTCTCTTTGTTCTACCATAATGTATTGTCATTAAATGTTAAAGGAGAACTATGAGGGGGGAGGGGAGGGGTGCTTCTCACTCACCTCATAGTTCTAGCCGACCTGTGACAATGAGACTGTCACAGGTCGGCTCAGTAGATCGGGAGGTGAGCGAACACATACCGGCGTTCGCTCACCTCTCGATCCTGCCACGGCTCTCTGCCGTGACAGGGGGAGGGGCTGGATTCCCCCCTCCCCGCTCCGATCCTCCAGCGCTGACTGGCGGAACGGACGGGGGAGGGGGCGGGTACAGCTGGCTCTGCCTCTAGATAGGCAGAGCCAGCTGTCACTCACGCAGCTGGGCGGATCTCGACATCGATGTCGGGATCCGCTCCGGCGTCTCAGTATACCGCGAGCTGTAGCTCCCTATATACTGAGCCTAGGGTGACGGGAGGACGCTATTTTGTGTCCTCCCGTTACCCTAAGGAGAACTATGGGGAAAAGCCCTGACCCCATAGTTCTCCTTTAAGTGAAGTAGTTATTATATAAGATGTTTATGTTTGGGAGGGTCCTGCATGGCAGCTGTCCAGGATTGGAGATTAAAGGAGAACTATGGGGTCAGTGTTTTTCCCCATAGCGTCCTCCCGTCACCCTAGGCTCAGTATATAGGGAGCTACAGCTCGCGGTATACTGAGACGCCGCACCTGGAGCGGATCCCGACTTAGATGACGGGATCCGCCCAGCTGCGTGAGTGACAACTGGCTCTGCCTATCTAGAGGCAGAGCCAGCTGTGCCCGCCCCCTCCCCCGTCCGTTCCGCCAGTCAGCGCTGGAGGATCGGAGAAGGGAATCCAGCCCCTCCCCGGTCACGGCAGAGAGCCATGACAGGATCGAGAGGTGAGCGAACCCGGTATGTGTTCCCTCACCTCCCGATCTACTGAGCCGACCTGTGACAGTCTCATTGTCACAGGTCGGCTAGAACTATGAGGTGAGTGAAAATCACCCCTCCCCCCCTCATAGTTCTCCTTTAATAGTCTCCCGCTCGCTGAAGAGGTCAGATCTTTGGTACATCTGCCATGCCTCGGGATCTCCACGCACATTGATTTCTCCGCTTGTTAATCTTTACCTTTTACTCTTCTAAATAAACTTTCAGAACCTTCACCGTGAGGCCGCCAATCTCTTATCAATGTTAATGTAACAAAGTTGTTTTTCACTCTTTTTGCATTCCATAAATAGAACAATCTCTGGTGATCCTGCCATGAAGGTCGTTGTTTAGGTACTTCCTGTTACAGGGTGACAAATGTCTACTAGGTGTGCTACTGCGTTGTCACCCAACCAACTCCATTCGAAACCGGAAAAAAGAAATCAATCAATGTGTAAGTTGATACAATAAATCAGGGGTAGGCAAGCTCCGGGCCCTCCAGCTGTGATGCAACTACAAATCCCAATAGACATTGCAAGACCCTGACAGCCACGGACATGACTTCCTAGGGCAGATGCCTCATGGAATTTGTAGTTTTATAAGGGCCCGGAAATTGCCTACCCCTGATTTATATTATCAACTGCTAGATGGGAGGAACAAATCCTGAGATCTGTGATAAATCCAGAGGAATGAAGCCTGAAGGCCCGGAATTCATGGATCAGTTTCTGGGCGGCCCATATGACCTTCTGTGGTGTTATCTCACTTATGTCTTTGCAGAGATCGGGACGGAGAAGGCTTGCTACCGCGACATGTCTTCCTTCCCCGAGACCAAGGCGGAGAAATACGCCAACCGCAGCAAGGGGAAGAAGTTCCTGCAGTATAACCGGCGCCAGCTGAGCCGCGTCTACCCCAAAGGACAGCGACTGGACTCCTCCAACTACGACCCGCTGCCCATGTGGATCTGTGGGAGCCAGCTGGCGGCCCTCAATTTCCAGACTCCAGGTACCGGTCACATTCACAGGGGGCTGATTTAAATCAAGGAGTAGGGACTTTTCACTCAGCAAACTTGATGTTCACATACCGTGTTTCCCCGAAAGTAAGACCTACCCCGAAAATAAGACCTAGTGAGCACGCATGCCCGCCCCCTCACCCGCCCACCTGTGTTTCTCCGAAGGAGAAGGAGACACTGTCTTATTTTCGGGGAAACACGGTAGCTTAGTGAATATCCCAGAATCCTTGGCATGTCTTATTGCGGAGCATAGAGACACCCAATGTAATGCAAGGCAAAGGAAAACAGGATTTCTGATTGGATGATTGAAGTCAACATCACTTCACCTTATGGAATGTGAACATTCACTAAGTGAATGGTGAACGGTCCCTACTTTTTTAGCTGTTCAGCTTCACAAAGTCCTATTCTCCCACACGCGGGGTGATTAAAGGAGAACTTTGGGGTTAAGGCTTTTCCCCATAGTTCTCCTTAGGGTAACGGGAGGACACAAACTGTGCGATTAACACACTGTACTAGTGTGAATGGGCCCTCAAAAACACACAACCACAGACACACTCCAAAAAAAACATAATTTTTGTTCTTTTTTTAGGATCCACCCAGTCTTTCTACCTTATGAGAAGTGGAGTGGATCCTCAGCCTGGGGTGCAGTGTGGGCTGCTGTGCTGTGACGGAGCTCCATCCATACGTGCGTTGCTTGTACAGCTCCCTTGCGCTCCCTGTAGAGGTGCCGGGAGCCAGAATGTGATGTCACTCCGGTCCAGGAACCTCTACAGGACATGCGAGGGAGCTGTAAGCAATGCACGTATGTATGGAGCTTCCTCCAGCTCCACCTTAAGGTGACCCTCCGCGGCGCGCAGCATATTTTGAATGGCTGCTTGGCGCGAGAACTGACAGCGCTGCGCTGGGGGCAGGCTGAGGAGCCTGTCACCTAGAAAAGTGGAAGGGGACCCACTGAACACAGAGTCGCGACCCAGTTTTGGGTCACGACCCACTAGTTGAGAACCAAGGCTCTAGATCCGGTCTGCTGAGGGTCATCACTCATCCTTTCTATCACCTATCTCTATGTGTTCACAGACAAGCCAATGCAGCTGAACCAGGCGCTGTTCATGATGGGCGGACAGAGCGGGTACGTCCTGCAGCCGGACATCATGAGAGACGATCTCTTCGACCCGTTCGATAAAAACAGCCTGAAGATCGTGGAGCCAATCACAGTGCAGATTCAGGTTAGGTGACAACCAAGTCGCTCGGTACTTATTATTTTTGTCGTTATTAATATTATCACATTATAAGTTTTTATTAAAAGTGCAATTCTCACCAACCACAAGAAGTTATTAGAGTTAAAAGAGTCTAAGGGGGTGATTCACAAAGGATCCTTCCATAGCTTTGGCTGATTTTTTGGCCGCCAGAGCCCTGCAAATGACAGCTGGGCGGAGCCAGCCATGATCTCACCGCTGGCTCCGCCCAGTTGTAATGACAGATCAGCGTCCCCGTCAATGACCTGGGGACGCTGATCTGTCATTAAACAATAACAACTGGGCGGAGCCCGCCGTGACTTCACGGCCGGCTCCGCTCAGTTGTTATTCATTGGCCGGGAATAACAGCCAATAACAACTCTAGCGAGTGGCGGCCAATAGGAAACAGTTGGGCGGAGCAAGCTGCCACGGAGGTACTGAGCAGAATAGCCATGCCGAATGCCGCTCGTTTTAGATTCGCAGCTCTTTATGCATTGACATTTCCTGTGCTCCCTGGCTCCATCTAGTGGTCATAGTGCGCCGTAAATCTAACACACAGAGGTTGGCAGAGCTGTCTGATCTGCAAATATTTCTAAATACCCCCCGATGATGATGAAAGGTTTTTAGTTAGATAATAAAAGGCATCTGTTAGGATGCCACAGTCACACCTTTGACTCCTGCTGGTTTTACTGTTACCCTTCAGCCCTTATACCCTACTCTTCCCCTACTCCTTCAAACCCTGATTCCTGAATGGGAGGGGGTCTGATTCCTAAATGGGAGGGTCTGGTTCCAGGATAGGAGGGGTCTGATTCCTAAATGGGAGAGGGTCTGATTCCTAAATGGGAGAGGGTCTGATTCCTATATAGGAGTGGTCTGGCATCTGGATGGGAGAGGTTTGGTTCCTGAATGGGAGACGGTCTGATTCCAGGATGGGAGTGGTCTGATTCCAGGATGGGAAGGGTCTGATTCCAGGATGGGAGTGGTCTGATTCCTGAATGGGAGTGGTCTGATTCCAGGATGGGAGTGGTCTGATTCCAGGATGGGAGTGGTCTGATTCCAGGATGGGAGTGGTCTGATTCCTGAATGGGAGGGTCTGATTCCTGGATGGGAGGGATCTTATTCCTAAATGAAATGGGTCTGATTTCTAAATGGGAGGGTCTGGTTCTAGGTTGGGAGGGGTCTGATTCCTAAATGGGAGGGTCTGGTTCCAGGATGGAAGGGTCTCATTCCTGAATGGGAAGGGTCTGGTTCTAGGATGGGAAGGCGTCTGATTCCTGAATAGGAAGGTCTGGTTTTAGGAAGGAAAGGGTCTGATTCATGAATGGGAAGGGTCTGGTTCTAGGAAGGGAAGGGTCTGATTCATGAATGGAAAGGGTCTGGTTCTAGGAAGGAAAGGGTCTGATTCATGAATGGAAAGGGTCTGGTTTTAGGAAGGAAAGGGTCTGATTCATGAATGGGAAGGGTCTGGTTTTAGGAAGGAAGGGGTCTGTTTCTGAATTGGAAGGGGCTGGTTTTCGGATGGAAGGGGCTTGTTCATGAAAGGAAGGGTCTGATTCATGAATGGGAAGGGTCTGGTTCTAGGAAGGGAAGGGTCTGATTCATGAATGGGAAGGGTCTGGTTTTAGGATGGAAGGGTCTGATTCATGAATGGGAAGGGTCTGGTTTTAGGATGGAAGGGTCTGATTCATGAATGGGAAGGGTCTGGTTTTAGGATGGAAGGGTCTGATTCATGAATGGGAAGGGTCTGGTTTTAGGATGGAAGGGGTCTGATTCCTTAATAGGAGAGTCTGGTTCCTGAATGGGAGGTTCTGGTTCCAGGATGGGAGGATTCTGCATCCTAAATTGTAGGGTTCTGATTCCTGAATCGGAGGGTCTGGTACCTGGATGGGGGAGGGGTCTAGTTCCTGAATGTCAGGCTTTGATTGCTGAATGGGTGGGTCGGGTTCCTTCTAACCACCTGGCGCGCTCTCAGGGTTCTGATGAGGAAAGTTGCAGTGTCGGCATCCCTCTAGAAGTTGTTCACCCTTAGGGATCATCTCACCAAAATACCAATAGCAGGGCAGGCCTACAATCTGACTTGTATGTTTCTCTGACAGTTCACCTTTAATCCATGTGTGTGTTTTGGGTTTCATCCCTCCAGATCCTGGGGGCCCGGCACCTCCCCAAGAACGGCCGCAGTATCGTGTGTCCCTTCGTGGAGGTGGAGGTCTGCGGCTCCGAGTTTGACAACAGCAAGAACAAGAGCGATGTTGTGGGTGAGTCAACACAAGTGGGGGCTCCACCTTCAGACAACTATAGTCAGTCTTGTACTACAACCCCCCTCCCCCATCCAGACAACCTTCGCTACTGCGCCCCTTGCATTTAATTTCACATGTCTGAAATAAGAACTGTCTGTGTTTCCAAATGAAGAAATGGATAGCGGGTATAGGAACTCCTTGAGCTAGAGGCAGGAGCTCTTCTTGATTGGAAATGTCATAGAGGGTACAGGGTCAACGGCATCTCCTGCAATCCTTAATGGGGCCCCCTTCCACCCCCAGGCCCCATAGCGGCTGCTTGGGCTGCTATGGCTATTGTTACACCACTGGGTTTATATATCTGATCCATATACCTGTTGATCCTGCCTGAAACTCAGTGAGCTGATGACTTCTTGTGCTCCTTGCCCGAGCTACACTATAATCCCAAGCAGTGTTATCAGCCCTGCCTATTTTCCCTTTGTGAACTACAGAACCCCCCACCCTTTCATGGTATCCTGTCATCCCTTTATTTTCACCTGGTGATCCTGCCAGTAACACTCGCTTACCTTACTATTTCTTTTGGGGGAGCAGTATTGTCACTCAGGACCACAGAACACTTCCCTCTGTCCTCATCTCCGTTACATAGAGGGGACATGTCCTGTAGTCCTCAATGTAGCTGATAACAGTGCAGCACAGGCAGAGAGCACAGGGAGATATCAGATCTTAAAGGAGAACTATGAGGTCAGGGCTTTTCCCCATAGTTCTCCTTAGGGTAACGGGAGGACACAAACTAGCGTCCTCCCGTCACCCTAGGCTCAGTATATAGGGAGCTACAGCTCGCGGTATACTGAGACGCCGCAGCCGGAGCTGATCCCGACAATTGTGCCGGGATCTGCCCAGCTGCGTGACTGACAGCTGGCTCTGCCTATCTAGAGGCAGAGCCAGCTGTACCCGCCCCCTCCCCCGTCCGTTCCGCCAGTCAGCACTGGCGGATCGGAGCGGGGAGGGGGGAATCCAGCCCCTCCCCTGTCACGGCAGAGAGCTGTGACAGGATCGAGAGGTGAGCGAGCGACGGTATGTGTTCGCTCACCTCCCGATCTACTGAGCCGACCTGTGACAGTCTCATTGTCACAGGTTGGCTAGAACTATGAGGTGAGTGAAAAGCACCCCCCCTCCCCCTCATAGTTCTCCTTTAAGATAGGGGCTACTGGTCCCCCCCACTGAAAATAGTCTCAACTGTGATATTTACATATGAATAAGCCACCACTCATTCTCCCCAAAAAATGTCGCTTGAGCGTTCAACCCTTAGTTAGTGGCAACCCTAACTCCGGAGGGACATTGAAAATAGTCTCAACTGTGATATTTACATATGAATGGGTGGTACTATTTACATATGCATAAGCCACGACTAATTTTCCCAAAAAAATGTCAGCGCATTGCTAGAGTGTGTTCGGGTTTCCCTTGAAGAAAAGGTGACAACCATAAGGGAGGACGCTAGTTTGTGTCCTCCCGTTACCCTAAGGAGAACTATGGGGAAAAGCCTTAACACCATAGTTCTCCTTTTATTTTGGTTGGCCCCTGACATCTTGTGTCCGGGTTCCTCCTGCCCTGAAACCCGGACACAGCATTCAAAACCCGGACTGTCCGGGTGAATCCTGGACAGGTGGCAACCCTATCCGGAGTCCTGCATTGGGGAATCCAAGTCGGATGAAAGACTCCCTGTGGCCGAATCAGTATGGCCGCTGTGAGTGCGGGAAAAGTGCATCAGACTCATGTATCCCTCCGCTGAACGAATACCGCTGCTTCCGGGTAACGTGTTGTAAATAACAGTCTCTGCAGATACGCATTGTGTGCTCAGGGGTTATACTTGTGCCAGTAAGTGGGAAGTGCCTACAGTGCTAACTAACCCAACTACAGCTGATACCGGATGTAACTGTACTGGGTATCTGTGGCCTCCATGCCGGAAGGGAAACCGCTTTCCCCAGTGTTGTAAATATTCTTTTGTACTACCGCCAACCGAGACTTTGTTTATAAGACCACTACGTGTGATTTCCTCTGTGAAGACGCCACACCCTAACCCCCCGCTAACAAACAGATATAAAACAAAAAGACAGTCCCGATGGTGTATATAACAGTCCAGAAGGAAGCAGATGTTGGGGGTTGTGTACGTTTGGAACGCGCCTTTTTGTTTTTCTGTATGTCCCCGTATTGAATCACGCGCCTCTCTTCCCCGTGCAGCCGACAACGGTTTGAACCCGGTGTGGACGATGAAAGAGTTTGTGTTTGACATCAATAATCCAGAGTTCGCCTTCCTGAGGTTCGTGGTGTACGAGGAGGACATGTTCAGCGACCCCAACTTCCTGGCCCAGGCCATATTTCCTGTGAAGGCCCTGAAGACGGGTAAGCAATGGCAGGCGCCGCCGCGGTGCGTGCCACAAAAACGTACTTCCCCTGTGAATAAAAATAGTGAATCGTGAAATCACTACACACTAGACATGTGCGATTCGTTTCGTTCCGAATCGAAATTCGGACGAATTTTCGGAAATTCGGACATTCGGATGTATCCGAATTCCGAATTGCAGATATAACGAATGCAAACGAATCCGAATTTCCATTTCCGAAATTCGGTAGCGTTAGGTCGAACGTTCGTTTCGTTTTCTGTTCTTATTCGTTTCTTATTCGTTTCGTTCGTTGGAGCAAAGTGACATTAGAGAAGGAGAAAAATATTTTTTCCCCCTCAAATGTCACTTTTGCTGCAAACGAACGAACGAAACGAATAAGAACCGAAAACGAAACGAACGTTCGAGCTAACGCTACCGAATTTCGTCCGAATCCGAATTCCGAATCCGAATTGACTTTCACACCCGAATCCTGAAAAACGAAATAACACAAATCCGAATTTAAAACGAAACGAAACAAATTTTTTGGCAGTGCACATGTCTACTACACACTATAAAAAGAAAAGTGCACGAGGGTGCTGTAGTCCTGGCTGTGCAGTGTGGCTGGTAAATGGGAATCATAAAAGAGGCTGAACAGAATTAGAAACATTGGAGGAGGAGAAAAAAAGAAAGGCCCATGCACAGCGTACGTATGTCAGTTTGGCTGGAGTCCTCCTGGAGACTCTAGGGCCGGTTTACCGTTGTTACTGACGCTCTGGATTTTGCTGACCCGTGTCTTCTGTGCCTAGGCTATCGCTCGGTCCCCCTGCGGAATAGTTACAGCGAGGAGCTGGAGCTGGCGGCCCTGCTGGTGCACACAGAGATCGTCAACGCTAAGGTGCCGTATATCAAATCTTTATCAGTCAGATTTAATGTCATCATTATTATTAGTAAAAAAAAACTTTTTTTTCTCAAAATTTTCAGTAATTTCTCCTGAATATAGTAAAAAATAAAACCCCCAGTGGTGATTAAATACCACCAAAATAAAGCTCTATCTGTCCCCAAAAAATGGTATAAAATTCATTTCAGTACAGCGTGGCATGACGGAATAAATGTCAGTCAAAGTACCGCAGCGCTGAACACTGAAAAATGGCCTGGCCATGAAGGGGATCTAAACACCTGGTCTTCAAGGGGTTAAATAAAAAAGAAATAAAGATTAAAAAAAAAAAAAACAATGACGGCTAGCTCCGCTCAATTGTTTCCTATTGGCCGGCACCTGCTAGAGTCTTCTAGCAGGTCACGGGCAATGAATAACAACTGGGCGGAGCTGGCCGTGACATCACAACCAGCTCCGCCCAGCTGTTATTGTTGAATGACAGATGAGCGTCCCCAGGTCATTTGGGGATACCGATCTGTCATTACAACTGGGCGGAGCCAGCCGTGAGCTCACAGCTGGCTCCGCCCAGCTGTCATTTGCAGGGTGAAAGGCTCAGTCGAGCCGAAGTAGATGCCTTTGGCTAGGTTTAGCCGCTCGGGCCGCCTTCGGGTGCTGTAGGGCCTTCGGCCCGACTGAACTGAAGAGCTCCCGCAACCGAAGCTTGCCGAAGGATCAGCCGAAGCTACGCCTGGATCCTTCGGCAGCTTTTTAATTGGTTATTTAAATCTACAACCAGGTTTTCTTCTGTCTGTGACCCCGTTATTCCTCACTTCATTTCCCGGGGGTTAATAATGAACCACTATGGGATAGCGATGATCCCAGACAACAGGAAGTGACAGAAAACCACTTCTTAGACCATTGTCACCAGAACAGGTGTCCCCATTGGAAGACTTTCCCTTACTTCCTGTTCCACCGACAGCTTTATTTTCTTATCACGGTCTGTCGTCTTCCATACACAGGAAGAGGACGACGAGAATCTGTACACGTCCATCCAGCAGCTGCGTGACCGAGCCAGCGAGCTTTCCTGCCAAGTGTCCAGCTACGAGCGCGCCAATAACTGCGACTCTCGCTACCAGCAGAGGCTGGATGAGCTCCGGGCGGCCCAGGAGAGACTGCTCGAGCTAACCGAAGTGCGCAACAGGAAGTGAGTTTAAACCTGACCTCCATCCTCCCCTTCAGTCTTCTATCTGACCTCCGTCCTTCCCTTCAGTCTTCTATCTGACCTCCGTCCTTCCCTCCAGTCTTCTATCTGACCTCCGTCCTTCCCTTCAGTCTTCTATCTGACCTCCGTCCTCCTGCAAAGAGCCCTGACCTCAACCCTACTGAGCACCTTTGGGAGGAATTGGAATGCTGATTGTGAGCCGGGTCTTCTCATCCAACACCAGTACCTGACCTCACAAATGTTCACAAATTCCCACAGACACCCTCCAAACTCTTGTGGGAAGCCTTCCCAGATGAGGAGAGGGTGTTATAGTCATAAAGAGGGCAACTCTACATGAATGCCCATGAGGAGGCAACGTCATATTAATGCCCATGGAGGGGGGTCAACTCCATATCGATGTCCATGGGGAGGCAACTCCATATCGATGTCCATGGGGAGGCAACTCCATATCCACATCCATTGGGAGGCAACTCCATATCCACGTCCATGGGGAGGCAACTCCATATCCACGTCCATGGGGAGGCAACTCCATATCCACGTCCATGGGGAGGCAACTCCATATCCACATCCATGGGGAGGCAACTCCATACCGACGTCCATGGGGAGGCAACTCCATACCGACGTCCATGGGGAGGCAACTCCATACCGACGTCCATGGGGAGGCAATATATGTGGCTATGGATTTGTAATGGGATGTCCAACCAGCTGATACAGGTGATGGTCGGATGTCTACAAATCGTTGGTCATCTATGAGTTGGCTCCTCCTATGTCAGTAAATCTGGTTGCAGGATTCTGAGCTGATTGCTGATTGTTGTTGTTCATCTTTTTGTCCATCAGACTCATGGAGAAGAAGAGAAGAGACCGACAGCTGGTGAACAAGAGGAACTGAGCTCCGGGCACGTTGAGTTCACGCTGATTCCCTATTCGTTGAACTCGAGAGACT